AACCAAAGTCCCCTTCGACTTCGTCGGTAGGGGACTAATAATTGCAGGATAAAGGCAATAAGTGTTTAGTGTCTTTAAATATCAGCTGTATTTGTACTCGGCTCGAAACAGGAGTAATAGCTCGCTGAAGCTCGCATTACACCTGTTTCTCAGCCTCGTACAAATACAGCAGATATTTAAAGACACTAAACAGTTATTGTCTATTTCATTATACATGTACGTTGACAAGGATATTTGACATCTGCGAAAGTAGGTTCAGGTATATCTGACAACTGCGAAACTAAGTATATGTATATCTTATATCTGCGAAACTAAGTACACGTATATCTGATATCTGTGAAACTAAGTACATGTACATCTGATATCTGTTAAACTAAGTACATGTATATCTGATATATGTGAAATTAAGTACATGTATAGCTGACAACTGCGAAAATAAGTACATGTATATCTGACAACTGAGAAACTAAGTTCACTTATATCTTATATCTGCGAAACTAAGTACAAATATATCTGATATATGTGAAACTGAGTACATGATTAGCTGACAACTGCGAAACTGAGTACATAAATATCTGATATCTGCTAAACTAAATACATTTATATCTGATAACTGCGAAACTAAGTATATGTATATCTTATATCTGCGAAACTAAGTACATGTATACCTGACAACTGCGAAACTAAGTACAGTCATGTATATCTTATGTCTGAGAAACTAAGTACACGTAATCTGATATATGTGAAACTTAGTTCATGTATAGCTGACAACTGCGAAACTAAGTACATATATATCTGATATCTGCGAAACTAAGTATATGTATATCTTATATCTGCGAAACTAAGTACACATATATCTGATATCTTTGAAACTAAGTACATGTATAACTGACAACTGCGAAACTAAGTACATGTATATCTGATATCTGTGAAACTAAGTAATATGTATAGCTAACCACTGCGTAACTAAGTACATGTATATCGGATATCTGCGAAACTAATTACATGTATAACTGATATCTGTGAAACTAAGTACATGTATAGCTGACAATTGCGTAATACATGTATAGCTGTTATTTGTGAAACTGAGTGCAAGTCATGTATATCTAATATCTGAAACTAAGAACATGTATAGCTGACATCTGTGAAATTAAGTACATGCATGGATGATATCTGTGAAACTTAGTACAAGTCATTTATATCTAAAATCTGAAACTAAGTACATGTATATCTGACATCTGTGAAACTAAGTACATGTATATCTGTGAAACTAATTACATGTTTATCTAATACTTCTTTTGTGAATTTAATAAAAATCAATTGTTTTTAATTCAATAATATAGATATGCACTACGTTCATACTAGCTAAAGACACGAGTTGTAGCCTTTGTAGCTGTTATTTTTAATTAATTTTTTTATTTTTCAGAATTGAAACATCCTCATATCGACCTTAATGATTCAATGATCTATCAAAATGGAGAAAGACGTACTTGTTGTGTTAATAATGGGAATAACAGTCATACTTGTGGCTGTATGGATTTCTGCTGATTTTTGTGTATACCGGAAGCGGAAACGTGATGCACGTGAAAAGAAAATTTATAAATTTTATCACTATGGGCGACGTAAAAGACTGGCGTTTCCTCAAATAAAAAACACAGACACTATTAAAAAACCAGAACCGATGAGAGAAACAAAGAAACATCCTTGGAAAAAGGTGATGGGTCTTTTTCGTCAGCAGAAAACTCGTGATGCTTTATCGAAAGTTGGTCATTCGACATCACTACACAAGTCCAGTACATCAGAAATGACATCATCTGGTGTTAGTGACTGTATATCAGAAAATTATCATTCTGTCAGTCTTGATACCATTTCTGAGGGAATTAATCAGGAGCAAAATCAGACAAAAGTTTTCAAATTATCAGAACCTATTCTAAAAAGAAACTCTATAACACCATCGGACATACTAACTCCGAACAGAATGTCTCTTTCGCCAATAGAAATGCAGTCGGTATTCAGTGTAAAGGAAGATGCTACTTTGTACTCCTCGGATTTTGACGAACATAGTTTGTCAAGTGATATTTCTAATTCGAGTGGTTCCTCGGTGGTTGGTTCGATTAAAACAATAAATGAATTGGAAACAGCAAAAATGACAGAAAATAAAGCTTAACGATGTGCATGTGTGATATTCGAAAAGTTTTCTAAATATAAAGAAACATTATTGGGAAATATCGAAAGGAAGACATTTAGTATTCTTAATCTGCAATGTAAATGACATCCCCTGTGATATTAGGAATGGTGTAAGCGTTCTACACATTGATGGGGTTAATTTATGTAACAATGTACGACCATTTATCGAAACGAACATAAAAGAAACCTACCTACTAGTATATAAAACATTTACACATTGGAAAAGAAATTATTAAACATGAACATGAGAACAGCAGTGACCCATATGTTTAAGTTTGCAACTGACACATTGACGAAGTATGTGACAGTTTAAAAAAAAAACAGAGACGATCCTATATTAACATAATTTTTTCTTTGTTCTTAGATTCATATCGAAACAGATCTGAACTCCGGAGGCCTGTTCAATTTCATTCGTCATAACGACCATTTGATTTGGAAAAACAATGAAAGGAGGTCCGGTAAGGGCTAGTTTTGGTCTAAAATTCGAAGTACATCGGATGAAAGATTTTTGACATTTTTTAAACACTTAAGTTTCTACTTCAGTCGATTCAATTAGTTTATGTCAAAGATTTGAACTGATTTGGTCATTAAAGACGCTCAAATTCAAGCTTTAATATGAAAAATCTATCAAATATGCCATAAAACGTCACTTTTCAGATGTTTTTTTGTCTAAAATGTAAATGGCCGCATTCGTGTTCAGTCTCAACCTTTATATATGTTATGTATTATCATCAAATACAACATATATTTAATTATGAAGACTGAACACAAATGTGGAAACTTCCATTTTAGACAAAAACCGTCTTAAAATTAGCACAAATGCTAAAATTGTGACGATTTCAGTAATTTTGCATGAATTTATGATGCTAGTACCTGATACATGTGCATAGTATTGTCAGAAACAGCCAATATTTATGGAACATAAGTATTCTACTTTCCAATATATAGCTAAAAGTTTACATTTCAACAAATTTGTAAAACTGCTATATTTTGGGGCCAGAAAGGGGTCTTATCGGGCCTACTCCTTTTTACTTACACATACAATACACGCATCATAGATACCGGATTAAAATTTTGTACTCCAGGCGCGCGTTTCGTCTTTTCAAAAAACTCATCAGTGACGGCTCGAATCAAAAAGTTATAAAGCCAAATAAAATGCGAAGTACAAGTGAGGCGGTACTATAAGAGGCCCTATTTGGAAATGTAGTAAAACATATTCAAGACTTTCAAAACTATGCTAAGTTTATTGATAAAGGAATAGGTCTATACACATTGGTGCAATTATTCACTGTGACGTCATATAAACATTTCAAAATTAACATCTTTGTCCTACATAGTTTTCAAACAAAATGAATGTGAACAAAGTAAAGGTCTTGACCAAAAATATGGCACATTTACGTATTTGTAAACATTACTTGTAGCACAATATATGTTTTGGTAAAGCTTTCGCTCATTATATATAACGCGATCAAGATTTCAAAATGAGGCTATTTTCAAGATGGCAGTGTTTGCAGTCTTGCACTAAATGCATTAAGTTTGAATCCCTAATGCAGATATGTTAGAAAAAAATTAAAACAAATGATAAATACTGATGTCTTACATATATCAACATCTGAAAGTTGCTATTTCATTACTTCTTCTTTCACTTGTATTAAACCCGTTAAGTCTCAACAAGCAGGACAATTTTCAAAAATGTGAAAAGTGAGTCCCTTAACATTAATGAATCAAAATAAACATATACAGTGCAAACCATATTTGCACTTTATTGTGTTGCATTGAATGATTGATTGATTGTAACACAGTTGGTTTTTTAGCGTAACGTCCAGTGACAATATTTTATGGATATTGAAGACGCGCATTAACGACGTCCATAACCAAAATTAATTTATTCATATTTAAAGGGCATGCGATTAGCGCGAGCAAGGCCAACATATATTTAAACAACTTCATGTTGAAAAATTATATAATTTCAATCAAAGGACGGCACAGTACCGTTATGTTTTCGTGTGTCTGTCGGTTTCCATTATTATCAAACCCTCTACTAAATACATCTGATTTATAAGGTTTAATAATTATTTCCAGTATCTGTTCTCATGTGTCTCTTGAAGGCATTTCTTCTAAAAACAATTTTTAAGCACATGCATCATCTTTTTGTTGTGGGGATGCATAAGTACACTGCATCGTCCACTCTGTGTTTTTGTTGTGGGGATGTATTAGTACACTGCCACGTCCACTCTGTGTTTTTGTTGTGGGGATGTATAAGTTCACTGCCACGTCCACTCTGTGTTTTGTTGTGGGGATGTATAAGTACACTGCCACGTCCACTTTGTGTTTTTGTTAGATGTATTTCTGCTTTGTATCGATCTGATGAGTTAAGCCCTTTTCAACTGATCTTTATAGTTTGTTCTTATGTTGTACTGTTACACCACTGTTCCAGGTAAGAGGTGGGTTGGCGCGCCTTTAACGTAGTTTAACCCTGCCACATTCTGTATGTGCCTGTAATTAAGTGGTTGTCGTTTGTTGCTGTATATCATATTTGTTTTTCGTTCATTATTTTGTACATTAATCAGGCCGTTAGTTTTCTCGTATGATATGTTTTTCATTTGTCATTTTGGGGTCTTTCATAGCTGACTATGCGGTATGGGTTTTACTCATGGTTGAAGGCCGTACGATCACCTATAGTTGTTAATTTCTGTGTCATTTGGTCTCTTGTTGAGAGTTGTCTCATTGGCAATCATACCACATCTTCTTATTTCTATGTCATATTTATTATGTTTGTCACAAGTATGTGTTCTCTTCAAGTCTTAAAACGGTTTTCTTCCAATATATTATTTGGCACAAAAATTAGATTTGTGACATTTGCCTTGATTTGACTAGTATGTGTTCTCGTATGTCTATGTAAATATCACTCATACTGAACCTCGACCACATACATCTCATTATGAGCTTTATCCTCGGTATGTTTTCTATTGCGTTCCTTTAAGTCACAATGCTGACTAAACTCTGTAACACATACATGACATTCATGAGGTTTATCAACTGTATGTGTTCTCGAGTGTTTCTGTAAACTACTAAGATGACTGAACCCTTTACCACACACATCACAGACATGAGGTTTTTCACCTGTATGTGTTCTCATGTGTCTCTGTAAATTACCAAGCTGACTAAACCCTTTACCACATACATTGCAGTCATGTGGTTTATCACCTGTATGTGTTCTCATGTGAATCTGTAAACTACTAAGATGATTGAACCCTTTACCACATACATCACAGTCATGAGTTCTATCATCTGTATGTGTTATCATGTGTCTTTTTAATTCACTACCTTGACTAACAACTTTACCACATACATTACAGTCATATGGTTTATCACCTGTATGTATTCTCATGTGTCTCTGTAAATTACCAAAATGACTAAACATTTTACCACATACATCACAGTCATGAGGTTTATCACCTGAATGTATTCTCATGTGTCTCTGTAAACTAGGAAGCTGACTAAACCCCTTACCACATTCACCACAGTCATAAGGTTTATCACCTGTATGTGTTCTGATGTGAATCTGTAAAAGACCAAACCTGCTAAACCCTTTACCACATACATCACAGACATTAGGTTTTTCGCCTGTATGTGTTCTTATGTGTCTCTGTAAATTACTTAAATGACTAAAACCTTTACCACATACATCACAGACACGAGGTTTACCATCTGTATGTGTTCTCATGTGCATCTGTAAATTAACATGCCTACTAAACCGTCTACCACATACATCACAGTCATGAGGTTTATCGGCTGTATGTGTTCTCATGTGCTTCCGCAAATTACTAAGATGACTGAACCTTTTACCACATAAATCACAGACATGAGGTTTATCTCCAGTATGTGTTCTCATGTGTACCTTCAGGTTACTACCCCTAGAAAATTCTCTCGCACACACATCACATTTGTGACATTTTTCACCAGAATGTGTTCTCATGTGTCTCTTTAAGTCTCTACCGTGACTAAATTCTCTAGCACAAACATCACATGTATGCAGTTTATTATCAGTCTCTGTTCTTACGTGTCTGTGTAGAGTATCATTGATTGTGACTAAATCCTCTACCTCTACCTCATACATCATATAATTAGGTTTATCTCTGAAACAAAGAAAAAAAAAGTTAAGACTAAAACCATTTTATACGCCCTGGTAAATTACTTTTTAATTTCTATGTTGTACCTGTCCTAAGTCAGGAACCTGTTGTTCAGTGGTTGTTGTTTGTTGATGTGGTTCATACGTGTTTCTCGTTTCTCGTTTTTTATATAGATTAGACCGTTGGTTTTCCCGTTTGAATGGTTTTACACTAGTAATTTTTGGGGCCCTTTATAGCTTGCTGTTCGGTGTGAGCCAATGCTCCGTGTTGAAGGCCGTACCTTGACCTATAATGGTTTACTTTTATAAATTGATACTTGGATGGAGAGTTGTCTAATTGGCACTCATACCACATCTTCCTACATCTATGTATACACTGTTTTTGTGTAACATATTCTGCATTGATACATCTACATGTTGGGGTAGTTCTACTTCAATACTATATATGATATGGCACAAGTATACATGGAAAGGTGGGGGGGAGTGAGTCATGAAGAAAAGTATGTTACTAAATTCAACATTATTTGCATACATAATTAATAAACTGTTGACACAGAGATATGTCTTGCCTGTCTGCAGAAATTTCAGAAAAAGACAAACTGATGAACAGCAACATTGCTAATTAATTTGAAGTCGCTGGACCATGACCTAGGGACAGGACCTCAAAATAGTTGACAGACTGAGATGTTCTGATAGTAATGCAACTTTATAGAAAATTTCATGGTCTATCATTGGAAGTTCCTATCAAACTAACTTAAGCAGAAAAACTTAACATTAAAAATTGCTAATTAATTCAAAGTCACAGTACCATGACCAAGGGGACAGAGCCTCGAAATAGTCAATAGTCGTTTAACTGATATGTACTGATAGTAACGCAACTTTATAGAAAATTTTATTGATCTATCACAGACATTGCACAAGGTCAAGGTTTTCTCTAATTTTAAATGACATCTTTACACAAAATTCATTCATTCAGGGGTAATACTTATACATGTACAAGTGTCTTTTATTTTTCCTGGAGGTAGAGTTACATCCCTTAGACTTTGTGAGTCGAAAAGTTACCAAATTTGATACACTTCAAGAACCATGCACAAATATAAAAAGGTCAAGCATCTACATGATTTACATGTAAATGAGACAACATTGTCAAGCAATGTTTTGTCTTCTGAAGAAAAATGAGTTTGATTCTAAAAAATTTGTAAGGGGTTCCGCGGAACCTTGTGTCTCGCCTACTATTGCTGCTGTCAGTGTAAAAGTGTAATGTTGACTTAAAAAAAGTGAGTCCATTTATCAGTAAAAAATACAGAATTTAAAAAAAAAAAAAAATCTCTTTAGATGCTATTTCTTGGTCTTGAAGATTAGGTTCTGCCAAGTTTTATAACAATCCATGAAGGTTAACAAACTTGTCATGTCAAAACAAATTAATCAAGAGTGTCTTTTACAACATAAATGTTGCAGGCTCAACAAAAAACAGAGGCAATGTTCATTCACTTTCTGATGAAACCATTAATAACCACTACAAGAGTGCACACACTGAAATATGTCTTGCCTGCTTTACTGACCATTGATTTTATGTTGATAGTCCTTAATATAAAGGTTTACTTACAAGTATCACATAAACTTAACATAATCCAAAAAAATGAGGTCAAGATCAGATAAACCAAACCAGAAATACATGTAAACCTTACAATCTTTCCATACACCAAATATAGCTGACCTATTGCTTAGTTTCTAAGAAACAATTTTACCAGTAAAACGTGACATTGATCAATGAACCATGAAAATGAGGTCAAGGTCAGATGAACCATGCCAGACAGACATGTACACCTTACCATCAATCTATGTATTGAATACAGTTGACCTATTGCTTATAGTACCTAAGAAACAAACTTAGCCATGAAAACTTGACATTGAGCAATGAACCATGAAAATGAGGTCAAGGTCAGATGATACCTGCCAGACAGATATATACACCTTACAATCATTCCATACACCAGTCAAGGGAATAACTTAAATGAGTGATTTCTTAAACCACTGATTCAAGTAACATTTTTCCAGAATTGTTGGAAGTAAGAGTTGTGTTTCTTTAATAATCACCTATTTAAGTAGTACAAATAAATCACTAGAATAAGTGATTTAATTTTATTGTAGCTTTCAATATGTAATATTCAGACCTGCCAACTATCCCGATTTATGGGGGATATCCCCCATGAGAGGTGTTGACCTGAATTTTGAAATTCTTTATTATATAAACTGAAGACCTCAAAACAGGCATTCAAATGAGTTAAAAGGGTATTTAAGCACACAGATACTCATACAAACAATATAGGAGTGGATTAAGGACACTTTTGGCAATATAAGAGGAGCATTAGGTCCTCTTGCACTTAAAATCCCCCTTGGAGATTTTGAAAAGTTGGCAGGTATGAATAATAATTATATATAATGATCCAGGGACTAATTATGTTGCTAAAATTATCAGAACCAACATTTGTGTTTATAGGATAACCGGTCATGTCAGATGATGTACTTAATCTGGGATATATAATGACATAAACAATCACTTCTTTAAGTACATGAAGTATCATACCTCTATTGTCTTCCAAAAAATCACTTCTTTAAGTATTATTATTTTAATTACCCCCACTAATTTCAACACCCCTGAACAGTTAAATTTTATTACATTTATAATCTGTAAGATGAAACCTTGAATTTTACAGGAGAAAAATCTGTTAAGATAGTTTTAGTTCATTATGTAAAGCCTTCATTATAGCATTTTTTAAAATATATTTTAAGATTTTTCAGATGAATGATTGCATCAAAGGCATAAATGTTAACCTTGCCACTTAAAAGAAGCAAAAGGTGATTTTTTTTTTGTTTTTTAATAATAATTAGATATAATCTAAACCTGCATGTTTAAAATTTTTGTAAAACCACAAAATCACAGAATTTGTAATTGCTACTTAAATGAGTGATTTATAAGTGATTTGTTTCAGTAATTACCCTGACTGTACACCAAATATAGTTGACCTGTTGCTTATATTTTAAGAAAAACAGACCAACATACAAAAACATAACACTGAGCAATGAACTGTGAAAATGAGCTCAAGGTCAAATAAAACCTGCCAGACTGACATGTGCATCGTAAAATATTTCCATACACCAATTATAGTTGACTTATTACATATAGTATAAGAAAAAAAGACCAAAAAGACCAAAAACACAAAAACTTAACTTTAACCACTGAACCATGAAAATGAGGTCAATGTCAGATGACACCTGCCAGTTGGACATGTACACCTTACAATCATTGCATACACCAAATATAGACGACCTATTGCTTATAGTTTCTGATATATGGACTTGACCACGAAAACTTAACCTTGTTCACTGATCCATGAAATGAGGTCAAGGTCAGATGAAAATTGTCTGACAGGCATTCATGAGGACCTTGCAAGGTACAAACATACTACATATAGTTGTCCTATTACTCATAAGAGAGAAATTTAAACATTACAAAAAATGTTAACTTTTTTTTCAAGTAGTCACTGAACCTTGAAAATGAGGTCAAGGACAATGGCCATATGACAGACGGAAACTTCATAACATAATGCATCTATATACAAAGTATGAAGCATCCAGGTCTTCTACCTTCTAAAATATCAAGCTTTCAAGTAGTTAGTTAATGCGACTGCCGCCGGATCACTATCCCTATGTTGAGCTTTCTGCAATAGAAGTCGCAGGCTTGACAAAAACTGGAAAAAAACTTAGATGCAACTAAAAGCTGTTCAATCAGATCATTACTTGTAGATACATGTAGCTCAGGTTCTTGTAAATTCTCAGAAAAGAATTTATTGTCATAGGTGATAGGTGATATACTTTGACCACAAAGTCAAATAAAGTGTATTCATCCTATTTTATGAAGCATAAATTGGCTTAAGCAAGTCTGTCATTTTCTGACTTAGACAAGACTGTCACAAGTCCAAAATTGTAAACACATTTTTATCAAAATACATGATTTGACTTCTATAAGTCAGAAACAAAAAGACTTGTTTATGTCTGAGTGCTGACTGAAAGTATTGCTCATTTACAAGCCTCCAGGGAGCAATTTTTGGAGGCCTTGCCCAGTTACTTAACATATGTGCGAAATAGACTTCTTTGTTTAGTTCATGAGATAAAATATTGAAATCTTATCCAAAAATTAATTAGCAAACCAGAAAAATATTGTAAAGGCATGTTTTGACCTTCCAAAACTTGAGAATTTAAGGGGTTGTCAACAAAAATTACTAGAAGATTAAGGGGAGATTATTCAAACCTTGAAAATAAGATAAAAATCTTACAAATTTACTTAAACAGGTAAATATTACTTACATCTTCAACATGTTCAAGAAAATAAAATTGACTTGTAAAAGTATTACCCCTGACTGCCATTGGATGTTCGATGTGTACTTATTGATATTTTAGTATCAGATACATGATTTTTTATTTATAGTTGTTATTGGCTTTGAACTAGCTTTCAGTAACTGTGAGTACTCTCTAATCTCTGCTTTGTGTCTGTGTCTTTTGCAGTTTTTTTAGTCAAATTTAATAGTTTTTTGTGCTTTGTATCAATCTGATGAGTTAAGCCCTTTTTAACTGATTTTTATAGTGTGTTCTTATGCTGTGCTGTTACACATCACCACTGTCCCAGGTTAGGTGGGAGGGTTTGGCTCCCGCAAACATGTTCAACCAAGCTACAATCTGTTTGTGCCTGACCCAAGTCAGGAGCCTGTGATTCGGTGTTTTTCTTTTGTTGCTGTGAATCATATTTGTTTATCATTAATTGTTTCTTTACATAAATATATAATCCGGTCATTAGTTTTCTTGTTTGAATTGTTTTGAATTTGTTATTTTGCGGTCTTTTATTCCTTGTCATGCGGTATGGGTATTGCTCATTGTTGAAGGCCTAAAGTGACCTTCAGTCTTTAACTTCTACTTCATTTAGTCTCTGGTGGAGAGTTTTTTCATTGG